ACTATATTTATTTTGAAGATCTACATCTGTATTACTTATTTAAAAAATATTAAATTAAAACAAATTTATTGTTGATCATAAAACATGTGACTAGTAATAAGCAGTATAGTGGTGCGTTTTTTTTGGAAGCCACTGTATATACATGCAAACAATGCGTCCTTGGTGAACTGGGGGTTGATAGTATTTCTCGCCAAGATTCCGTCTTCATTCTACTCGATCAGCAATAAGGGTTTTTGAAAATTTCATCATCGTCATATTGTTCTTTTCAGTGTTTTTCTCGTAACGTTTTCGCCTATAAACTAAGAATGGTTTTAGAGCTTTCATCAAGTTTCAAATTCTCATCTATCAAAACAATTATTTAGTTCTAACTACAAATAAGAAAATTGCTAGAAATAACATATAACCTGTAGGTGAGACATTTGATTTATTGAAACAATTGAATAAATTTTTTAATTTAGTCAACCTTGTCATGATGGAAAACTTGGAAAGTAGCTTGATTTGGATTGGAAAAGTTTACTTAGCTTACTTATATACATATTTTAAAACTTCGATAGACTCGCAAAATGTAATGATTCATTATCGTGATTAATTAAAATGTCATCTAAAACGTTTATAGAAATATTGCTCATGTTAAAATGACTTAATTAGTCTGTAATTTTACACATGATCACATATATGATCACGTGTCAATGAAGTGACTCGTGTCCAATATAAGTTTTTGAAGATCGTTAATTCTATTCTATATTAACATACATAATAACAATCTTCCTTTATAATTTCATAAAGACACCACTTTCTCACACTAGAGTTTCTATTGACAAAACTCAAAATGATTCTGGTATACCAAAGACTTCAAATTCCTTAGATATAATTATGCAAGATGTATCTAAACAACAGTTTATTATCAGTAACATGACCTTATAAAATTTTAAGTTGTATTTTGGTAAACAGGAAATAGGTCCATTTCACAAGGTATAATACATGTTTTTTTGAGCTTTGCAGAGATTCTATCTAATCATTAAACTTTAATTTTAAGTCATTTTCTGCTGTCGTCAAATCAAATGGTTCAGGAAAATCAAATGTTATTGATGTGCTTTTATTTGTATTTAGTTATCGAGCAAATAAAATGAGGCAAGCCAAATTATCAGAACTTATTCATTCATCACAAGGACGTGAAAATCTGGATGCTTGCAGTGTTGATATATACTTTGAAGAAATTCTTGACTTGTTAAAGAAACAAAATAATGATATTTTAATTTCTGAAAAAAAAACTTCATAAAATTAATAACACATGATATTCAATAATATTATAGCCTAATTCAGGTTTTACCTCATGCTTTCTACAATAATGCAAGAATTTCATAAATAGATGATAAAGCAATTATACTAAAGTTACAAGTCTTTTGAAAGAAAGGGAATCGATTTAGATCATAAAAGATTTTTAATTTTGTAAGTTCCTTTTTATTTATTTATTTATTTTTATATTTTTTATCATGAGGTAATGATTAACATCTATGCTTAAATTAATGATTAGAGAGAAGTTAAATTAATATTATGGATAAAACCTAAAGCATTAAAATGAGCATGAAGATCGACTCTTAGAATATATTGAAGACATTATCAGAATTTCTAAATATAAAGTCCCTCTTGAAGAAGTAAATAAAAAGGTGAAATATTAGATGAAGAATGATCAGAAAAATTAAATCACGTTAAAATAGTTGAAAAGGAGAAACAAAGTTTAGAGGTAACAGATTTTTACTTAATCACGTTACTGGATAACACTCTTATAAGAGTGTTATTCAGTTACACTATAATGTTATCTGATTATAAGTATAATGTTACCTAGTTATGAATATAATGTTACCTAGTTACTGTTTTTATCATTCTGTGATTGTTTTATTGCTTTATTGTTATCTACTTAATTTTATTGCTCTATAGCTTTTTTATTGCTTTGTAGATATTTGCTTGATTTTATTGCTCTGTCCTCTTTTTATTTCCTTCTAGCTATCTGCTTGTTTTCAATGCTCTGTGGCCTTTTTGTGACCAAGATGCTTAGTCAGCTTTGATTGTTAAAATTATATTACAGTTAGGTGGCACAGTCAAATCACATGACTTTATTTTAGTTAATTTCAGTGACCCAAAATTATAGAATATAATGTTAGTCGAATTATTGTAATTTACTGCGCCAAAAAAAAATCATGTGCATTGTACGCTCTCAGAACCTTCCTATCATTTTCCTGTCACTTTTCCATTACTTTTGAGGTTCTAACTAAAGGATCTGATAGTTGAAGAATCAGAAGTACTAAGATCAGCTTATGTAATTGCCAGGAATTAGTACTGAATTTGCTTGCAATCCTACCCTCATTTGATTGCCAGGTTGAGACACGAAATGCCAAATTTGCAATCCATATATTTTCCTTCTTGATTGCCATCTCTTGATTGCCAGATGAGACACAAAGTGCTGAATTTGCAATCCATCTATTTGCTAAAAATGTGTCACAATCCATTCACTTACTTTTTGATTGCCAGTCAGGCATGAAATGCCAATGTTGTGCCATTCTTGCAATTCTGTCTATGACTATTTTGATTGCTAAAGATGGGCATGAATGAAGTACTGAATTGGTGATCCAGATATACAAATTTATTCTCTCTCTTTCCTATATATAATTCTGTGCATCTGGATCATCAAAATTTCGCATGTTTTAGCTTCTAGACTCTGTTTCTGTGTAGTTACTACTTTAGGATATCTTTAAATCGATTGCTTTAGAGTATTATTTAGTATATTTATTGCATATTCATGCTAGTAATCTGATTAGAGGCCAGAATGGTTTATACTTTTTTATTTCATTTTTGAGTCATACATATTACATTTTTTATTTTAAACTTTCCAAGTTTCTCTGTTATTTTATACTACTTTCTTGTATATACACTATGCTTCTTACATATACACCATGCTTCTTGCATAAAAAAATGCTAGGCCTCACCCAAAAACAATAAATGAAGCAATCAGACACTTTTCAGGATTAACAGACCTTGACTATGAGCCTAGTTATAATGATCATGTATACTTTCAATATTTGTCTAATAATAAAAATGATATTTCTCTTCTAGGCGCTTATCATCCTAAAAAGATTTATTCAAAATATATTATTTAGGTAGCAGAAAAGGGTTTTACGGTAGTTGATCATCCATCTGAAGTTTATAGGTTTCCTAATACTTATGAATGTATTGATAGAAATCTGCCTCTTCGCCTGATTCTAGATATTGACGCAAGGTAGTATTCTGATCCCATAAATCCTGAACTCTTTTCCTTAGATGAATATAAAATTTTCACGAAGATTTATTATCCAGAATCTTAATTGCCTACACTGATATTATAAACTCTGATTTAAATTATTTCATAATATTAGATGCTTTTGCCTTAGCCAGTTCGTCTAATGCTAATAAATACAGTTAGCATATTGTATATCCTTATACCCATTTTATTGATTATAGAGATCTCGAAAGTTTTGTAAAAAAGTTGCTAATAAAGTTGAAAAGCCATACTCAGTTTTTATCGATTTTGACCTTTATAAATCTCGCTTTAGCCTTCGTCTTCTTAGATCAGCAAAGGAAGATAGAGTTAAAAGATTTGCGATTTCTTCAATTAAGAAAGGATGTTGCAAGCTAGAAAATTATCTAGTTCAGCCTAAATCCAATTATTCTGAAATCTGGCTCTAAACCTTTTCCTCTAAGAAGCTAGAAAAAGAGGAATTTCAACCTATCAAAGATAAACTGCCTTAAGCGTGAGAGCTGATTTAGTTATCCCAAAATATGGATGGCTTGAGATTAGCGACATTAGAAAGGGATTTATTAACTTTTAAGCTCGGTCATTAGAAGCATGTCCCATTTGCAATATCAAACATGAAAAAGATCAGTTATATGACTTTCTTCGAAATAACGGCTATTTTTTATTCAAATATTATTGGCAAAAAAACTATAAATCAGATCATAAGGGATTAGCATTTGAAAAAGTGACCAAAGTTTCTGCAAAACCTAAAAAAAGAATAGTCAAAAAAATAGGTGATGCTATATCAAATCCACATCTTCTTGTAGAGTTGCTGGGAGAAGTTATTAATGTTAAAAGTTGAAAAATGCTCCTGAATTATATCCAAATTTCTTAAACACTAAAAAAACAACTACATTAATTCGCTTATCCCTAATAACATGAAAAACTACTACGTTGAAAGAGATTATTATAGTATTAAAAGATGAAGTGCATAATATTTCTTCTTTACCATGTTTTATCTGAATCTTTTACCGAAAATCTCTCAGTAATGAATCAAAAGCCAAACTTAACTTATTAAAAGCATCTGGCTTTCTACTTTGCAATTACTAAAATATACAAGAAGACTTATCTATAAATGAGTGGGACATTATCATAATACAGGTTGAAAGTCTTTTTCGTGTTGAATTCACAGCCTGTCCTTTTGTGACTATTCTTATGAGATCAATGCTATTATGTGCCAAATGTCCAGTGATACAAATGCACAAGAATCTGAGAATGTATTGCGTGATATTTTAAGATCTGTAAGATATGTAGTCATAATAGATGCTTTTACGAATAAATCAACATTAGCATTCCTTAAGACATATCGTGGTAAAGACATTTGTATAATTGATAATAGATACCAGCCTCATGTGAGTGAGACGGTTGAAATTCTTTATGATCTGAATAGTAGAGCTAAAGCTATACAAATAGGATATGACCTTTTGAGACAAGGTAAACATGTGGCATTTGTATCTACTAGAGCTGTGATGGCTAGAGCGTTAATAGAAAAAGCATCTAAGTTATCTAAACCTGATAATTCACCTGTTAGAGCTCGTGCATATTATGGGATATGGATAAAAAGCAAAGACAAAAAGACTTTTCTAATATTAATGATGCCTGGAACGAACTCAACTGCGTGACTTATACAAATACAGTGGAAGCAGGTATATCTTTTGAAATTACAGGCCATTTTGATATAATCATAGCCATTACAAATATTGCCACTCCAGTTCATGTTAAAGCTCTTGCACAAATGCTTTATCGAATTCGTGATTCCTCCTATCATATTATTTCTTTATTCTATCAGAAAATTCTAACGAACTTTTTCACCTGCCAGGTCATGAAAATATTCGAGCAGAGCTTGAAAGTGTTTAGCCTAATAATTTGCCTATAGCAATAAAGGGACATTGTAAATGAAATAATAATAACATTTCTTATAAAGTTGACGAGTCTCCAACTGTAATAACTTTCATTGAAGTTGAGCATCAGAAATGCCTTTCTGCAAGATACTTTATTGAAAAGCTTTGTAGCCTTATAGCCAGTACAGGCACTTCTCTCTAACTTATAAAAATAGATGAGAGCTAAGGAATTATAGGGAATCATAAAAAAGTTCACAATAAGGTTAGGGTTGAAGCATTAGTTATCAAAAAAATGGATTTTAATGCAGTTACTACTTCTCAGAATATTGATCCTGAAGAAGTTGAAAATCTTAAGTTTGACCAAGTGCGCTCTATCCCAAATACTATAGCACTTAAACGTTTCTATATACGAAATATTTATGGTAAAGATATGGACAATGAGATTTGGAATAATCTTTGTAATAAAAGTTTGTCAACCATTTCAGTCCGCCTGAATCTCGAAAACATTTCTTACAGTTATCTCACTTTCAAAAGTAAGACTATGATGAGGAAAGTGCAATGAAAGGGTTAGAGGCCAAAGATATTGCATAATGGGAAGATACCTATTATAAAGCTGGATATAATTCTGAGAAATCGGTAGCAGAGGACTTGCACAAATCATATTCACTAATCATTGAAAAGTTATAAGGAAACTCTTTTAAATACTAGGCTTTACTGGCATTGATGATGTACATACTCTTTTGGGTAATATTATTTCAGAAGCATTTGCTCAATCATATGAAAGATTTATAGAAATCTGAAGTCAGTCTTTATTACTCTTTGGTATTAAGTCTCATGCAAAAAAAAGCCTGATCTTATATTGATCATAAAAACAATCAATGTAATCGCTGGTAATTGGTGTGGCTATATAGTTAAAAGTAGTCGAAAAAAAATAGGTTTCAAGAAACAGTGAGTTTGAGAATATTCATACAACATTAATTGCCAGCCATATGATGGTCTTAGTTTTGAAGATAAAGGCGCACTAGAACTTCTACCATACAGGCTAAAAACAGATAACGATATTCAGGAACTCTTCGATTTTATAGGATAGGAAAAATAATACTTCAGCTC